CAAAAATAGATTGAAAAATGTTTCTATTCAGTTTCTGACTTTTTAAATGAAGACTTCAGCCTCACCCAAGGCCTTAGGAACCACTGAGGTAATGTCTAAAGTGGTGGAAGTAGTCATCAGAGTAGGTCAAGGGAGCAGCTCCACAATTCAACACTGCATTTACTTTATAAGCACTGGACAATAAAATACGCTTAAATCCGTCATATAGCTATGCTCTACTTTCATTTTTTTTTTTTTTTTTTTTAAAGATTATTTTAACAATAGGCTGTTATTTATTAAAGTGCAAACATAATTATTCTGGCTGCTAGTGAAGTGATCTGCTTGATATACTACCTAAACTTAGTCAACTATTTTATTATTGATTACATAAGCTGCCAAAGAGATCTGCACTTTTAAAAAGAGAGCAATATTTGCCTTAAAAATTTAGTTAACTTGTATTTATTTGTTCACCACTGGTTTAAGTCCAGTAAAATCACATACTTCTACAACTGCACCGTTTTAATGCTCAAATTAGACACTTCCTGAAAAATAAAATTCAATAAAGTAAATAGGGTTCAATTCATCTTAGTTTAATCTTTGTGCTTACATCAGTCATGCAGCAATGCATAAAAATAATGGTTTATTCAAACAATAAGTACCAATTCATTAGGTAGGTGTAAACATAATTATTCAGGCTGTTCAACTGTAGCTTCAGCTATTACACTAAAATTCACTGCTTACTTTATATGTTTTATATAAGCTACCAAAGAGATGTTCTGGTTTAAAAAGTTCAATATTTGCTTTTAAAATGTAGCTAAGTGGTATAAACTTAAGGAGTAATTTTACTTAGATCATTTTAGCACTGGTGTATGAGTCCACGGAAGTGACATTGTTGTACATTACAGTGTTTTAAAGGTCAAATCAGACATTTTTTGGGGGGCAAAAATCACATTTCAACAAAGTAAAGAGGTCTAAATGCATCCCCACAGGACTATTGCACATGAGGTGGTAAAACAGGGGCACATGTTCATGCTTGCTTAGCTTCATTTAAGTCTTCATTTATTCTTTAATATATTAGTTTATTTTATAATTGGCCTGTTTTTTGACTTTCACTGACTAATACACTTGGCTCCAGGAGAAGCATAAACAGGACCCCCCCACCCTGGGGGCCCCTGAGAGGGTTAACCTGCCCCGAAGCGCTTCTAGCCATTAGGTTAGCTTTGTGATGGAGCTCTGGATACACACGTATTCATGTGGTTGTGGCTTGGCACAAGCTTAAACTGTGAAATGACCACCAAGCCAAACCAACAATATAAACAGTCCTGTTTTCAGAAATACCCTCATTTTGTCTGTGCTCATATAGGCTGACTGTAACCAAAACCACGGCCCTGTGCAGTTTACTGTAGCGCCAGCTGTAAATCCTAATGTTACAAAGCAGTAATGGAAAGTGACTACACTGAAATACACATTGAGAGTGTAGGCCACTTGGACTTGTCTACTTCAAAGTAAGAGTGACATACTGCAGTTTTTTTCACTTCTTCACTTTAACTGACACCAATATTTACTAGTTACCTTTCAAATTAAGACTTCCTCTTTATTTTTTCAACTTCATGCTGTTAAAGCACAACCAAAAGCACGTATATTTTCGGGAACAAGCACCACCTCGCTCTCCCTGCACATTAATGCATCAACACCGTAATAATAAGCTCTTAGCTTCAAGGATATACATCCCTAATGTTTCCCAGTTGCTTGTAGTTCATTAAGAAGCCTCTGTTTTGACTCAGAGCGCCTCTCTGGCCCTGTTTAACATTTATAATCACGTGTTGTTGCACATTAGAGTCACAGCAAGTGGATCCGCGTCGTTGAGGCAACGGGCCTACTTTGTTGTACCACCAGCCTGTGGAATGCGCGGAAGGACACGGCGCGGTGAGGCGGCCGGTAAATTTTTTCAGCGTGTCTGAGCTCTCCAAGGACGATACAGAGTAAACATCCCGCTGCTATTTCAGGACTACCCGGCATTAGGCTGCGCGGATTCCGGCCGATTTGTGGCACTTTGACGGAAACGCTAAAAAACACAGCAAACCCAAACACAGTCCGGCTGTATGCGACCCCGCTGCTGTGTTTGCAGGAGGCTCGCTGACCTTTCAGTTTATTTTATTTTTAAATATATGCCCCTCAGATCTCTTCCACACGGATCCCATCGCAGCTCCTGCGGGTTTCACCGGAGTACCTTGCAGCAACCTCTGGCAACCTCTGGCGCTCGCCTCACGGCTGCGAGTGGGAACTTGTCTGCAAAGCTAACAGAGAAATTCTTCAGGGCTTAGTGTCGGTGCTGTTCATACAAAAACAGCACTTTGAAGAGCTGCGAGAGCGGCCGTGCTCTGCCGGTAATGATTACAGACAGGCACGTGAAGTGCAGGCCCATCTATCTCCATCACTGTGTATATAAATCACTCACTATTTGTATTATTTCTCTTAAAAGGTAGCTGCAAATAGAACAAACACAGCTGCGAGGTGCCCCACAACCTCAAGTTTCTGGCAAAGACCATCAGCTTTTCCCAAATGTTGATTTTGGTAATTTTATGAGCATTTTGGGGTTTTTTTAAAAAAAAAGTAAGACTGAAAAAATGTGGAGATTTAAGCCTATGAGCTTGTTAGGCCTACACTTTATTTTACAGGCAACATGTTCTAAATTCAATTAGGTTCGGATTATTTATTCAGCACCGAAACGCAACATCAGTCACCTCAACAAGCTTCATATTGTAAGGTTAGAGGTCCTAAAATAATATGGGTGCTGCGACAGCAGGAAAGAAAAACTCCCTTTTAACAGGAAGAAACCTGCAGGTTCAGGGAGCTGTGAACAGTTGGGCTGAGGGAACGAGAAAAATGGCAACACTTACCAAAGCAAACACAAAAAGTTTAATGAACAATGGTAATCATACTTACCTTAAAATTGGAGGCACAGAGAACTAATATAATTGTTCCTTTGATGTTTTGGACACTTAGTTTTCAATGTTTCCCCCTTTTTGTGCTTTAAAGGCCCCAGCTGTGGGTCAGCTGATCTCACATTAAGGCTAACCTTGTGCGGGATCAAAGCATGAAAAACCTGTTTTTTACTGCTCTTATCACATCTGACATGCTAAAAAATGAATAAATCACCAAAGCTGTTCTTTGAAAGATCTCACTCCTATTCATTTCCATTATAACCTCATTATAAGTGGCGTTGCACTCACTCAAGAAACAGGTGCTCCTCAGACGTGGAGCGCCACGGGATGACCACAGAGGCCTGACTGGTTTGAAGTCAGCGAGTACGATGGGGATGAAAAGAAATCAGCCTGCTAAACATTCCCAGATGTCTTGCTTCATCACCTTGTCGTGCCTTTGATATGCCAGCACCGACCACGCCATCCATAAACCGTGATCACACAAGAAAAGTGTGCTGTAACCAATTTCCCCGGCACATATCTGCACTTCCAGCAAGAAAAAGCACAGGTGCCACATTAAACAGAAATGCTGCGTGGAAGCATTAACAACAACATGAGCTGCAGCCATTAAAGTTGTTACTTACAGCTGCACCTTTCCTTCACAGGTGGGCTGCGATGGTCCCAATGCAAAGGTTTCCAGCTGGATTAACCTCTTAAAGGCCCCCAAGGGGAAGAAGAGAGCTGCTGGGCCACTATTTACCCCTCTCCTGTCTGCATTGTTGCCCGTGTGTTCCCACCACTGAGTACACACACCAGACTTCATCAGACACACGTATGGCAGCTTTTTGTGGTCATTTTAAACACACATAGATTGAGGGATATGTACCATGTGTAAAGTTTTAACAGTTCTTTTATACATTTAGCAGTGCTAATGATCTGAATAAGTCTTTATTTCATTTGCTGCTATGCAACTGTGGAATGAACTGCTGACCCCTCAATCCACACACAACCACACATTCATACTTTACCTTTTTTCTCTGTACACTTCAATC